GTCGAAGCAACGCGAGCCGACGACGGAGAGGACGGAGAGACGGCGTCGATAAGGGTTGCCAGGGTTCGACATGGGTCGAAACCCTGGCAGAGCCGAGCGTGGGAGACGACATCATATATATATATATATATATATATATAGTACTAGATAACAAATGGGAGCCTCACTCCTTTTGGGCGGCAGCCCTAGCCCACAAGGAGGGCCGGCTGACCCCTCCTTTCTCCCCTGCCGAACCGGTTCAACCACCCAGATGGTCTAGTGTCCAGTTCAGAGTGGAATATCAGTGCCCCGCAAAATCGTGGGAGACGCCCCTCATCATTCTCACCCTAGTTGATATTTTTTAAGCCATGTTAAGTTTGTAAGGTAGCATTATGATATGTACCTAACCAAATATAGGCAAATATCTTCATTATTTATCATTATGGTATCTGTCCTTAGTTGTATTATCCTTCCCTGGCTTCTGTTTCTACCTAGGTCTTCGTAAACTTGTTCAAAGGACACAATCTAAAGCCCAAATTCTCTCGTAAGCTCTCTTCTCATAATATTGACGTGTTTTTTCATGGATAAAGCTTGGCTGGGGAAGATAGCTTTAGTATACTGTTTTAGTAGTGCTTTATTGTTTTATTTCTTTTTTACATTCGTTTTGGTGGAGCTGGAGATTATGTACTGGCATAACCCATAGGGTTCAACTGTCAACCGTTGAAATCAAATTTTGATTATTTTTTAAATCAATGTATTCACAATTTATTTTTTGGCCATTTGATTGCAAGTGTTTCATGACTGCTATTTCTGCAGTCTCATTTTGATTTTTGATTTTTCTTAACCACATGGTAGATATGACAATGTTGATTATGTCATGCTTTTCTTTATATTTTTATTGGACTTGTTGATGACCTCTCTTTATTTTTCCATTAATGAATTTCATTTTTATTTGATAGTAATCGATACTATCAAAAGATTTGTTTTTGGAACATGTGAAGTTGGATGACAAATCTTCTCCCCAATATGTATTTTCTATTGCCCCAGCCAAGTTTTCTTGTTTGTTTAGACATATATCTTTGTATTTGTTGAGCCATTTAACTGGTATTAAGTGTTTTATTATATTTTGTTTTTGTGTCACGAGTAACGAGCCTATGTTTATCTAGCAGGCATCAGTCGCTCAAGCTTAAGCATGTTGGGATGTGATTTATCATATTCATTGAATCACATGAAGTCATGCACGCGGTTATATATAATGAGCTATGCAGAGCCCATGCATAACCAAATTCCTATCAAGAGTGTGATTGAAAGGTTTGTTTTCATGAAGGATGTTTTCTACAATTCTTCCCTAAAAGGCTATTCTATACTGATGAAACAATATATAACAACATAAATATAATGAAAATTTTTGTAGTTGATTTCATCAAAACAAAGGTTAGACTCTATGTACTATTATCATTATTGGCTAAATACATCTCCATGTGAAGGGCTTGCCCACAAGCTCTGATCGTTTTTATAATTGCCCAAAACTTCATCTCTTTTGCAACGAAAATGCATTTGCTTTTTTACAGCTTGCAAGGACCCCTTGTCAAGATCAATGGTGGACCTGAAGTTACAAAAGTCATAGAGTACTATGGTTTGTTGCCATACATAGACATTTTATCTGACTGGCTGTCCAGGTTTGTGCTTCTATTGCTTTAATTAAATTTTGTTGTGAATTACAAACTCTTCAAGAGCATAAAATCGTTTTTCCAAACTTTTGTGATTTGATGAATTGTTTCTGCGCAGGAAAACTTCTCATAGTGCTTCACAGCATATCTTAAGTCAGAAAACTGCTGCAGCTAAGAAGGGATCTGAAGGTATTGTTGTCATTGATGTTCATGAAGTCAGTCGTGATTCAGGTTGGAGCCATGGGAATACAAATAATAACTGTAGCAGTAAGGCCAAAATTATTAGCAAGAATGAAAACCACCCTTTAATGGAAGATTTATCTATTAGATCACAAAATGCTGGTAGTTCTTCCACTAAAATGGCAGTTTTATCAACTGTTAAAGAAGAGGGAAATGAGGGTGGTTTTGTGGCGTTTACAGGGCAAATTCGGGACTCCGTGATGAGTAAGAAAAGGAAGGCAAAAAATGTTTTAGGATCATCTGTAACTCCTCATTACAATGCTGGTGATTCATCTACTGAAAACCTGATGACATTGAAAAGAGATCAGGAAAATAGTACGGAAAATGCCATTTCACCAAACACAGTTATTAAAGCGAAATATGGGCTTAACCAAGTTGGAGGAACTATGAACAATATGATAGTTGCAGTAAGGTTTTTTTTCTTCAAATAGTTTTCTTAACTTTTTTCTTAAACAAACACACAAATTCAGTTCCTTCCTACACAGTTTATATACAAAAGAGTTTTACGGGGACACTGTTGAACTGCCCAGCTTTTCTTTGGGATACTTGAGTTGAGCCCTTAAACTTTCTTTTGTAGACCATGGTTATAGCACTTGGCAGCTAAAGGAAATCTTAATTTTTTTGGTTGGATGCTTTTTTTAATCATATAAATTAAATCTAATTTCGTAGTGTTTTTCCTTGGTCCGGTGAGATTAAACAGGATTATTTAATAATGCTTGATGATGATGGTTGATTGATGTTTTTTTCATCAACAAACATTTTTATAATGTAAATTTTGGCTTTGTATATACTTTTTGCAGCGTATATGAGTGCATATATGGGTTATTTGTACTGGAGAATTAGCAGTGCACTGTAATTCTTTTACATGTATTTTTGAAAATTAAGTGTTTGGCATGAAGAACTACAAATACAATGTAAAATATGAATAAATTTGAAGTTTACACCTTAGTTCATTTTGAATGAATTTAGAATTCGGCCAAATTTGAGATTCATATCATTCATTAATATAAAAGGTTGTCAGTCGCTAGCCGCTCGCCACCGCAGCCACCAGCCACCTCAACCAGTCGCCGTTGCTTGATGCCGCCCGTCATCCACCAGTAATTCATTATATATTTTGAAATACATTATTTTCAATCCACTTCAAACCAAACAAGAAAAACATGAAGTCCTACATTCATTTTACAGTGAACCAAACTCAAACTTATTTTAGATACAATACGTTGCATTTGTTCTACATTTATTTTACACTGCATTATTTTTCAGCAAACCAAACAATCCTGTTGTCTTTCAGGTTTACACTGATCAATTTTTTGAGTTTCCACTGAAAATTCTCAGTAGGTGTTGTTTTATCGCTCTTTTACCTAGCATTCTTGCGGGTATTTGTGTTAGTTTGGTTTGTTATAGCTGAAGCTAATATAGTATGTGATACGAAATTTAGATGTAGTCATAACTCTCAAGTCAGATTGGTGTGGTATATAGAGATGCCTATCAGATATGAGTGATTAACAAATCTAGAAAGGAGGCATGATGCTTGTAGTTTTAAAATTTGCACAATTGAAGTATTGTTTTTTTGGTCTTTTGCAGCTTAAGTCTGATAACAATAATCCGGTTGCTTTATCAAAGAAAGTTGACATGATGTCTGTTTTACAAACGCTGAAGAAGAAGAGAAATGAGCTGGTATGCCATTTTCTCTTTTGATTTTGTCGAGTGATTTCTTCCATTATGTGTAGGTAATTATCTTTTATTCTTCTGTTTGATAGTGTCACCAGCAGCGCTTACTAGAGGATAAAATTGCTCATTGTGAGATGAGCATCCAGACGGTATTAAGTGGTACGCTTCTTTTACAAATCATCCATTTAACCAAAGATGAAGTCCCATTAAATTCAACTAAATTAGTTCTTGCACGCTATAAATGATTAAGTTTGTCTTATAAAGAAATTATAAACCTTAACCATCTCTAACAGACTGCGTTTCTTTGGAATGAAATTAGATTATGCCGTGATGTGATATGTTATTTAATTAATTTTTTTGTCAGGAAAAGATTCCTCAGAATACAGAGTTGAGTTTATGTTGAAAACTTGTGAAACACTCTGCTCAAATGATGAGAAAAATGACACAAATTTGTCCAATAATTCTCAATGCCAGCCACAGACAATTAGTAGGAAGAAATTGTGTGATGCAGTTCTTCGTTTGCAAAGTCCTTGTCAGGTAATTATATGTTTATTTTAATTATTTCTTTTATCTTTCTTTGTTTAACTTTAATAACCCATAATGTTGAAAAAACATTTTAAGTTCACAAGTTTAAGGGATGAGTTTTTATTTCAATTCAGCAAACTTTGTAGCCGAGTTGGCATGCTCATTTAATGGTTCTATCCCAATTCTCAAGTTATTTTATGGCTATTTTAATTATGTGTTTTTTCTTTCTTTTTTGAAGGATTGTCAAACTCAAATCCTCCCTCATAAGCTCTATAAAAAGCCTTAAACCTAGAATCCTATAAAAAGACTTAAACCTAGAATCCTCCTTGGCCAACTAGCCAAGGAAAAAAGTGATTTTCATCCATTAATTTTGATGTTGAAGTTCCCAATAACAAGAGAAATTTCAGAATAAGTGAGGTTTGTAGCTTGCTGTTTGTTCTACAATTGAATATTTCGAAGCTGGAGCATGCAGAAGAGAAAAGGAATGGTTAGTAGCTAGTGAAATTACATGGCTTCTCTACACAACAATCTGCAAAAAAACTCTTAACAATATATGCCAAGTGTGAGAAGGAATAATCATGCATATCCATCTCCACCTTTTCTATCTCCATGTATTAAATCTATCTTATCCAGCATTTATGTTTAACCAATGCAAGGTTCCTTTGATTAAGGAGAATTATCATCTTATATTTCTAAGATTTATTAGTTTGTTAGGCTTTAATTTTGATATCATCATGTTTTTTTCCTTGACAAATTCTAGTTTTTACTGCAATTTTTTCACGATCAATGATTTACTTTGAAGATGCTAAAAAGCAGCTCTCGTCACTCAAACCTCCCTATCATATCCATACCGTACCTATCAAAGCGCACGCGCACATACAGACACGCTCTCTCTCTCTGCACACAAGTGTGTGAAGAATAATCACATATATCCACCTCCACCTTTTGCATCTCCATGTATTAAATCTATCTTATCCAACATTTACGTTTAACCAATGCTGGGTTCCTTAGAATAAAAAGAATTACCCTCTTGTATTTCTAAGATTTATTAGTTTGTTAGGCTTTAATTTTGATATTATCTTATTTTTTTTCCTTGACAAATGATGGTTTGAACTGCAATTTTTTTCATAACCAATTAATTACTTTGAGGATGCTAAAAAAGCGGCTATCCTCACTCGAGCTTCCCTATCATATCCATACTATACCCATCGAAGCATGCATACTCCCTCTCTCTCTCCCTTCCCTTTTAGAAGTTACTAACTTTCTTAACATGTCCATTCGCATGTGCAAATGTATGCGTCAGTGTACACTTAAATTCGCTCTAAATTCTTCACTATACCAAACAAGA